GAGGGGAGCCGGCCGGCCCACCCATTTTCCCCTTTCCCTGCGCGAGCGTGTGTGGATTTCCCCCCCTTTTTTTTCTGCCCGCCCGGTTCCAGCTTCTCACTATCCAGGCGTTTCTGCAAAGCGGGAGGGGTCGAGGGAGGGGGGGCGGTTGGTGGGAAAAGAAAAGATGGAGCAGCAGCCAAGGATTTATAAAGCAAGCAGCGGAGTCCTGCAGCTCAGAGGCGACACGGGGGGAGGGAATCGGAGCTAACCGAGGAAGGAGGCTGCTGTTTCTGCTGCTGCCGCCGCCAGCCGGGGCATAATACGGTAAATAAATACGAGCATGGGGATCCGCGTGTGAACGAAGCCCCACTCCCCCTCCCCTTTTGCTTTCGCTCCCGAGCCGGCGCTTTTTTTTTCTTGAAATTTCCCTCTTAAAATGAAGGTGCGTGTTATACGCCTGTGCGTGTTATACGCCGATAAATACGGTATATTACATTGCCATGTAAGCCTTTTTCTCCAGATTATGCTTTCAAAACGTTATTCCTACTATTTACAGTTTGTTAAGAGAATGGAAAGAAAGCTATCAACTGTTTTTTTTTCCAGGCTCTAGATAGCCAAGACTCCAGAGATTTGAAATCTTCATTCTTAGAACTTGACAACAAAATACTGTCACAAATATGTTACTATTATAATAAATAATCCCTTTGGGAAACAAGTTGTTTAAATAAATAAATCTGATTACTTGTTAACTCTTAACAAATATGTTAAGAAAATGTTTTATGCTTTGCCAACCATAAATATTAATATTTATAGTAATTCCTGTAGTAATTTTACAGACCTATAAAATTAATCTACAAGTAAAACTATAATTACTTTGACTTGCTACTTGCTGAAAACTTGCCAATGTTATTATCTATTAGTTAGATTACTATAAGCTGCTTTTATGGGAGCTACACTTGGCACAACAGGCAGCTGCTGTACAGCATGTTGACCAGCACCAATTGCTATAACACTTATTTTGCCAGAGCTATACAGGCTGCTAATAAGCTTCCAGGCCTGATTCAAAGTGCTGATCAAGCTTCATACAGCTTGACCCCTTGCTATAATCAGTACTAGTATTCCACCTTTACTTTGTGCAGTTCAAAATAAAATACATAATGCTTTTCCCCCCCTACAACATTCTCATGGGTTGAGTTGAGAGTGAGAGACTGGCCCAAAATCACCAAAGTAATTTTCATGCCTAAGGGAGAAGTAGAACTTACAGTCTCCTGGATTCTAGTCCTATACCAGTGGTGGCGAACCTATGGCACACGTGCCAGAGGCGGCACTCGGAGCCCTCTCTGTGGGCACGCACACCATGCCCCGGAGATGGCAACCATCCTCGTCAACCAGCCGCCCGCTAACTTGCCGAGGTCCCACGTGGTCGGATGCATCCCAGCACCCATGCGCTTGCTGGCCTCTGTGTGCAGGGATTGATGGTGTCAGGCAGCAGCCGCCCCGGCCCCTGCCTCGCCTTGCCCCGCAGAACCAGCCTCCTGCCCACCGCCCCACCTGCCAGAGACCCCTGGATCTCCCCCAATCCTGCCCAGCCCCCACAGGCGTCCCTCCCCAGGAGCAACATCGAGGTAGCCACGCCCACCCTGGCCACGCCCACCCATCTGCCATGACCACTGTAGCCACGCCCATCTGGTGGGCCACACCCACCAGGAGGCCACACCCACCTGGCACCCGGAAATACATAAGTGGGTTTTGGGTTGAAGTTTGGGCACTCGGTCTCTAAAAGTTTCGCCATCACTGTCCTATACTTTTAACCATTGCATCAAATTGGCTCTCTTGCCATGTTTACAACTTTTTCAAGTAGACTTCATCCATCCTTCTAGTTCTGAGAAAAAGGATGCTTCAAGCACCCACTTTATGAGTAACCATGGAGGAAGTTGAGATTTGAAAAATGCATTGAGATGTTGCATCCCCCTCCCATGCCAAGAGCATGCCCATGAGATCAGGTTAAATCCTACCCTTTTCTGTAGGAAAATGGTAAAGGCAGTTCTTATGCAGTAAACATTTGGATATGTAATTAGAATTAGAAGTAATATTTTATTTTTTATCTGATATATCATGATAAGTGCTTTAATATATCTCTTTAATTCTCCTTCCAGAGATCAGGATAGCTTTGCTGGCTTTTCATAAGGCCCTAAAGACTTGGTTCTGCACCTGAGCATGGAGCGCAAGTGTGCACAGGGACTTGTTTTTCAGTAGTCTTAGCAATTTGAGTTGTTTCTCTGCTGCCCGCATTTTATATTTTATAGTTTTTTAATTTTAATTCTGTTTGCCATCCAGAATCACGTTTAGATGAGTGGGCCATATGAATTGGGTAAAATATATTGCAAGCCACCTTAGTCCCAAAGGTGCTTTTTCAAGAGGCAACTAGACTTTCTTGTTTTTCTTTGAAGACATTTCACTTCTCATCCAAAAAGCTTCTTCAGCTCTGAACTGAAGAAGCTTCTTGGATAAAAAGTGAAACGTCTTTAAAGAAAAACAAGAAAGTCCAGTTGCCTCTTGAAAAAGCACCTTTGAGACAACCATGACCTGAATGACTGAGAATCTCCATTGACATTAAGCCGCCTAGAGTTTCTTCAGCATACAGAACATAAATTAATATTTTATTTATTTAAGCTCTATACCTAAGTGACTCTGGGTGGTTTACAACATAATAAAATCATATAAATACATGAATTAAAGCATAGCTTAAAAAACAGCTGAAAAACAGGTTAAAATACTTTCTACTACAAGCCCTATACCCTGATATGAAAATTCATTCTGAAGCTTACTCCGCTATAAAAAATAAACTCTTTAAATTGTCAGCACCAGAACTGTGTAGATTCTATAATCAAGATGTAGAAAAGTAAAACTTCATAATTCAGCATTCCAGCTTTCTCAACTTTTAATTTTTTTCCCCAGTTTTAAAGCTAAGACAATATTTAAGATATAGGAACTACATATAATCAAGTCTAGGAATGAGAAGATGAAGCAATACCTCTATAGCTCAGGGTTCCAATATGACTTTCTTTCTCTTCAAGGCTAAAAGCTACGTGAACACAGTATAAATTAAATGCATGCAAGTGTACTTGGGCTGTATTAGTATAAAAGTCACAAAATTTGACTAAAATGATTATACTAGCTAGACCAAGATAAAGCCATAGCAACATGTATCCTAAATTACAGAATTACTCTTAAAACAGAGTTCTAAAGAATAAATTACCACACATCTACATACCATTGTGCTGTAGATTAAAAAATACAGATTACATTAGCAGAGACTACACCAAGCCATAGTAACATGTACAATATCTTAAACTGCAAAATTATTGCTAAAACAAAGAGTATCTTGTAGGCTTTTAAAGAATTACAATGTATCTACATCCCATTGGGCATGTTCAGTCACCTGAAAATGGTGTCTACAGCCTCTATTGACTATGCTAAATATAATAAAAAAGGAAAATCATTTACATTTTCTTGTTTTATGCATTTCTCCCTCCAATTTTTAAAAAGAGGGCAGTAATAGCTACGCAATTAGGAAGTATAAGGTAACAATTAAGGCACATTACTTTATAAATATTGTACGTTTGAATTTACTCATTAAATTGGATCAAGCAAAAATCTTATATTATTAGGATATATATATGGAATCTTATAAACAATCGTATCTTATAAATCTTATAAACAGTCATCTCTCTCTGATTGACAGAACACTTGCAGCAGGAGGGGAAAGTATGACTTTAATCATGCTTAATAAAGCTTGGCAGACAATGAGTTCTTCGCCCACTTCTGTCTCTCCAGAGAAAGAAACAACATCATGCTACGTCATCACTGGACTGAGTTGACAAGAACAATGAACACAGAGAAATCAGATCCAAAACAAAGGGAGTCTAAACTCATTTAAGAACTTTCTACCACAAATGTATGGAAAACACCATAAACAATTAGCATACAAAAGATAGCTGGAAATGTATTACATTAAAATGGAACCGGCTTTTCTTCTAAACGAACCTGCCTTTGAATGCATTTAGAACTTTTGCAAGATGTACCACATTTGAATATTGCTAAAATGTGCTTTAGACATATACATGTATTTCTAAAATATATATGCCTCCTACACACATTTTAAAAACCTATGCAAACAATGGTATCTGCAAAGCTGCTCTGCATCATACCTCTACACATTTTAAAATATATTCTGGATCTGTGGTTTTTAATATAAAGTTAATATACATATATTTCACGCATACACGGAGCAGCAGTTTGTACATATTTGTCTGGTCTTAACCAAGATAATAATGCCTGACTAGATTTCAGAATTTTCCTTTGAGATCACTATTGCATGCCTCTTACCGACGATATACTTTTCTCTTTCAAATACAAGCAGGAAGGGGTGGGACCGAAGAAGAAAGCCACCCCAAACTGAAGGCATGCATGTTCTACCTCTTGTCACTCTATTCCCTAACTTCATCTTTTTCTGCTGTCTGCCCTTATGTGGGCCTCGAAGGTACGGCCTTTTAGTTTATTCCTTTATTAAAGTCTGCACAGAGCAATAAACCACCAATGACAATGCAACGCACGGCTCAAAACAATACCAATCCAGCGATTAACGAGCAACAACAGCGCAATTAAGGGGAACAATAATACGATTCTACAGGGGAGAAGAGAAGCCGCCGGCACCACCGCAACAAAAAAGCCGTGTAAGCTGCCCTTGACGTATCAAAATTCCCTTAGTGGAGCGTCCATCAACCCCTTCTCCGTCAAATGCCAGCTGGTAAACGAGGCAGGGGCGATCTTTCTGGGATTACAATGATACCGCCCCAGCCCCCCCCCCCCAATCCCCACATGTACAAGCAGGTCGGGGCTCTCGCTTCTCCCGCTTCTCTAGGCCCCGAGTTCCCAAGCGGCGGGCGGCGGCCTCTACCTTCCCCCAGGCCTTCGCACGACCTCAGCCACCGTAGCGGCTTACCTTTCAGTCCAGGCGAAGAGAAGGCTACCAGAAAGGGGTCGGAAGGATAGCACGGAGTGGGCCGGTCCGGGCCGAGCCGAGCCGAGCCGGCGAAGGCGCCTTTGCTTCAGTTCATTCGCACGGCAGAGACGGCGGCGACGACAACCACGGCCGCAGAGGCTGGGGCTGTTCCTGCTGCTGCTGCTGCTGCTCCTCGTTGCTCCTAAGGAACCGAGCGCTCATCTCTCCTGCCTGCCTGCCCCGCTCTCTTCACTCTTCCTCCGGCTTCTCTCTCTCTCCCTCTCCCGCGCCCCCTCCCCGCAGGCTTTCCTTCTCACGGCGGCGTCCTCCGGGCTTGCTTGCACGCTCAGCCTCCCACGACACCCCGCTTCTTTTCCTCCTTCTTCTCTCTCCCTCCCCCCCCCGCCCGCCCCGTGCCGCTCAGCTCAGCTCCTCTAGGCAGGCGGGCTAACAAGAGAGCGAAGATGGCGCACGCGCAAGCGTAGCCACCCTCCGCGCGAGAGACTGGGGGACTTCGAAGAGACCGGGAGCGAGCTCAGATTTGGCTTAGAGCGCATGCGTCGGGCCCGAACGCCCTCGAATGGTGGTGGGGTTCGCGCGGGAGCTGCAACATTTTATGTTCGTCTGAGCGGGAGACGGCGTGCGTCCTCCGCCTGGCAGCCGAGACGGTCCCTCTCTCTCTCTCTCGGGCAGCCGAGAGTGGATTGTTTCTACTATCCTTACTCTTATTCTACTCTGCCTACTCTGATATAATGCTTTGAGAACCCGGATGCGGAGGTCGACAAGGGGAGGAAGGAGGAAGAGCTGATGTGGGGCGGATTTGGAGGAGGAGGAGCTCTTTGACTGGTTGTTATTACGTCACCCTGATTTCTTCCTAGGCCTGCAGCTTTTCGGGACTGAGAAAAAGTAGGTCGGGGAGAGCATGAATGAGATTGTGTACTATCAGCCTCAGTCATTTCCATTGTTAACGCTGTTATGTCGGCTTCGCCCAACGAAAACAACAGCCGGGAGTTTGCTGTTAGATTTGGTGGAAGAACATTTACAGGCAATTTTTGACACTTGATCTTAGCCAAAAGGCCAAGAAGCTACATTTTTATTACAGTGTTTCTCAACCTTGACAATTTTAAGGCATGTGGACTTCAACTCCCAGAATTCCACAGCCAGCAATGCTGGCTGTGGAATTCTGGGAGTTGAAGTCCACATGTCTTAAAATTGTCAAGGTTGAGAAACACTGAGCTACAAGAAGACAGACTTAAGAGTCAGATACAGTCAGCAGGGGGAGCTTTCTAATTACATCAAGACATAAGAGGTGTGGAACAGGGTTGTACAATATATTAGCCTCGTTGTTCAATATTTATATAAATTCTTTAATTAAAAGATTTAATTCGTGCCCCTAAACTAGCTGATAGAAGATTCACAATGTTCATGTATGTAGATGATGTATTAATATTTCCCCAAACAGCATGCACTGCACGCACTGAAAACTGTCAAGCTATTATAAAGATGAGTAACTATTATGATAAAACCAACATTTTCGTTTCCTTAAATAAAAGACAGAAAAACAAATGATCAATTAAAAATAACACAGCTGAACAAGTTCAACAATATAAATAGCTCTGTCTTTCAAAATAATAGGAAACTTACAGCCCAAACTGGCTGTTTTTTCAAAAGCAGAAAAGATCACCAAGCCCATCTTATGATTGTACAGGACACAAGGAAGTACACTTGCCTGGCTGCAGTTAAGCATTTTCCTGCCAAAGCAATTGCACAATTGATGTATGTACAGTATGGAATTCAAATAGGTCCGTCTCTCATTTTGTAATCTATGAATACATCCAATCAAATTTCCTTAGGGCCATTATAGTTTTTCCAATACAACACTGAGTCTAAAACAGGACTGTCAAGCATTGGATCTCATGCCTGGTCTAGAATACTGTTATCCTGGAGTCTTATTAAACCCCTGGTACTTTACTATCACTCTTATTACAAGTACAAAGATACTTGTCAACAAATCTGCAAGAAAAAAAATCACCAAATGTAGTCTCATCTGCACTTCTACATATCATGGACTATAAGGATGTTAGGAATACAGGTAGACATTGCTTAATGTCCATGCATTCAGCGACTTCAAAACTATGATGGTGCTGAAAAAATACTTGTCACCAGTCTTCAAATTTAAGATGCAGCACCCCTGTGGTCAAGTGAAACATTTGAGCCTGCCTATATGATCACTTTCTACTACCACCCCAAGCTTTTTGTCATCTTTGCCTGCCTTTCTCCTGCACTGGGCTCATCACCCTGGCCATTCATGGGGAGGCATTGCAGAAGCATTCTGCAGGGGTTGACAATCGGGCTGGGATGCAAGGGCCACTCTAGGAGGCAAAGCTCTTGCAAGACTGCTCCTGCAGTGGCAGAGTCATAGGTGAGACTGACCTACCGAAGTGAGGGGGTGCGGGCGGATATGGGCTCCTAAGTAGGAGTTGTGCTACGGCTCATGGGCTGATTGCTGTGCTCATGGATTTCTTAGCAAGCTGCAGCTCAGGGGCTTCTTGACATACCTCACCTAGGGCTTCTAGTAATTCCAGAGCTGTGGCACGCCAAGAAGCCCCATTGCTGAAGCATGGCAAGCAGGGCCAGAATTCTGGAGTTGCTTGCTGCACCACACCTCTGGTTTCTTGGTGTGCCAGGTTCCGGGACTGCATGGCACACTGCGGCTCTGGCTTTTTGCAGAAAGAAAGGCCAGTAGAGGGCACCTAACTGGTGAGGCATATCTTCAAAACAATCCTGAGAATATTAAATAAGGGAAGTAATAGCCAGTAGAATGAAAGATATACTTTCTCCATCCTAATGTCCCCAGATGTACAGGCTATTCTGGATCATCATAGATCCATGATTCAGCCAGTTCACACCAGTTCAGCAGAACCGGTAGCTAATTCTTTGTTGCCCAGGTCCAGAATGGACTTCCAGACGCGGCATCCACACAGAAAACCGGTTGTTCACATATTTGAATCCCACCACTGTATACAGGACTTCATACCTACCTACCTAAATACTTGATCTTCCTTCATCCTTTTCCCTTTCATGCCAGGCATTCTTATGCTAAGTGCAGAAAAGCAGTAAGACATAGTAAACCAAAGAAATTAAAGGCAAAGACAAATTATGTACGGTATATATAAATTTTATTTGAATTTTAGATAGACTTTAATAGATCCATAAAATTGGATTCAAACTATTTTAGGTTACTATTTATTTAAAATTCCATTATTCCTTATATAACAATGATTCAGGACCAGATCTTACTATGCTATCTATCCACTGAAATATCTGGATCTTTCCCATGTTCTGCAACAACTACCGGTAATTTGGCTGCTATATGTAAAACTTAAAGGCCACAATACTTTGTATTGTGGCCATCAAATATTTCTGGCAAACCTTGCTTTGGAGAGAACCAAATTTTTTGTTTATCTTATTTTTAACTGCCTTTATTAGTTATGTAACACATTTCTTTAAACATTTTTCCAAAACTCTGATACTTTTATCATATTCAGAGCAAAGATGAAATAATATTATCTTTGATTTAGAGCCTTACCAGCATCTTAATGAATATTGAGAAGGTAGGAGATTCTTATTGGGGTTTGATGCTACCAATGCAAAGGTTTAGGACATATAGATGTTTTTTTTAAAAAAAGTATTGTCTAACTGTTCCTTTAAGTATAAACCCCAGGCTTCTTTTAACCTTGTGGTAGATTTACCATAAGCTACTTTAGTTTAAATCTGATAAATTTTGAAATTATATCCTTAGGTTCTGCAAAAATAATTAACATTAATTTTTCAAGAGAAGACATATATTTTCAATTTCCTTAACTTTTAATCTTATAGTATTGAATTGTCCTGACACCAAAGAATATATGGCACTTTTTTAATTGTTCATTTTTTCTGAAATTATAAGATCTGGAATTTTTGTATAAATCTTTTATTCTATAATCACCATAAATTTAATTGTAGTATTGTATTGCTATAATTTGAGTATGTTATCAATGAACACCTCACCCTCCAAATTTGGCATGTCACTTATATAAAGTTATTCTTGAAGTGCTACTAGGCTGAAAAGAGAAAAAAAAAATTCTTACCTTGGAACTAAATATTGTTAGCTATAGAACTTTTTTTAAATTCCTATATATATATATATATTCCTGATAAAATTCTACATATAGAGAATATATATATACAGTATATAGATACTATGCTCATTTGATTCCTATTACAGCTTTTATAACATCATTTGGTTTCATAGTGGTCCTACAGCATCTTCTTAAGTAATTTTTCAGAGTCTGAGCTAAATGTTGTTTCACCTTATGAAAAAGTCTATAGCTTAAAGTACCAGAATAAAGAATATGGAATACTTTGTTATGTTAAAGGCTTGAATGCAATTCATTTTGTAAAATAATTTTAGTGATGTCTTAAAAAAATAAAACTTGTCTCCTCCCCAGTTTATTTCCTTCAGCTTGCAGCTTCTATCTCTAGTACATGTAGAAACATAATTATAATATTCCTTGTGGTTTAAATTTTGGAAGCCTACGTTTTGAATTCTACGTGCATGTACCATATTCGTTTCAGACAAATGTAGATATAGAAAAAGATCGTTAAATTTCATTGCAGTACTATAATCTATCATGTCATCATTCTTACCCTTTTCACTGATGCTTCTTAGGCAGAGGTTGCTTTGTCTGTTATCTTCAATGTCTGGCAGAGATATTTTAATTCAGATAGTCCTTGACTTACAACCATTTGTTTAGTAACCATTTACAATGGTGCTGAAAAAAGCGACTTATGACTAGTTTTCACAGAACCCCATGGTCACATGATAAAAATCTGGGCACTTGGCAACAGGGATGTATTTATAACAGCTGCAATGTCCCAGAGTCATGTGATCAACATTTATAACCATCCCAACCGACTTCCAACAATCAAAGTCAGTGTCAGATTCACTTTACAACCGCATGATTCACTTAACAGCTACAGGGATTCACTTAACAACTGTTGCAAAAAATGTCGTAAAATGGGGCAAAATTC